GTGCTAGGGTGTCGGCGCATCCCGGGGAGAGGTGGGGGGTGTGATGTGTGACATGTTGATTCTCGCTGACATGTCTTGTGGGTGTCGGTGTGGAGCGTTGTGACCAGATGTGTCCGGGTACACTTGGTTGGTAATGNGGCGGAGGGCGCTGGAAGAACGTGTTGTGGGTGTTAGTGCTAGGATGTTGGCGTATTCCGGGGAGAGGTGGGGGGTGTGATGTGTGACATGTTGATTCTCGCTGACATGTTTTGTGGGTGTCGGTGTGGAGCGTTCTGACCAGATGAGTCCGGGTACACTTGGTTCGTAATTTGTGTGTTCGTGCCGGCAACACTTTTATGGTTAACATGCATCGTGTGCGGATGAAAGCGGGGTCCGGTAGGTCTCGGAGGGTGCTTGTTTTACCTAGGGCATTAAAGGTGTGGGCATGTTCTGCTTTTTTTTGTCCTAATTAGGAGAGTGTGAAACGAAAACGTTGTTGATACAACTTTTAATGATGTCTCTGCATCCCTGCATTAAATATTCGTCGCGTGGGTGAAACATTGCTCCAGGGTGCAGACCTGAAGGAGACCCACACACACGCTAAAAAGTAGGGTCTTGTCGAATCCCATCGCGAACACATTCCTGCGCTTCAAGTGAGCATGCGCGGAGACGGGAAAAATTGCAAGGCTCCAAATTTGCGGAACCCAAGCGTGCCTCAGAGTTCCCGTCAACACCCAACGTAGTATTGGGTTGCAAGAACAAGTCTTGCAAATAGGAAACCACCAAACGATGTACATGTCCGCAGATTGCCGGCACGGCAGGTTACCCGCAAGAAGACAGCAATGTCTTCGGCGTTCTTCCACCGTATTTTGTCGTTGATACTCCTTTGTTGCCGCAAGGCATCCTCTCAAAGTGTTGTTGCCAACCAAACAACCCACACGTCTCTGCGGAGGCGCACGTATCCTAAAAAAATGATGCTACGAAAAGACGCAGACGTTGACTCAACCATGCCCAACAAAAAAAATGAAACCTTCCCGCCCCCTGGCCCAAAAAAAAAAGAAGGATACGACCCTCGCAGCAAGCAAGCCCTGCAGCAGGGAGAGAAAAACGAAAACGCGCCCTCGTGTTCGTTAGATACAGTCACAGCAACTTGCCCGTGAACCGCAACGGTCTCGGCGTTCTTCC